ATTAATGCAGTGTCGTACTAATAAATGTATATTTTAATAAAAATGAAGAGACTAGTGTTAATTTCATCATTAACGTCCTGAGGAATTATTATTCATGTATACCTATCACTGTAATCTAAAAAGTATAAACACTGCTTAATAAATCCTTAAGATATGATAAAGATTTGTAGGTCCTAAATTTTTGCATTGGTCATTATTATAGATTTATTGTCATTTTCTTATCACACAAGTGATATATAAGTCCAAGTGTATATTGGTTCTATCTTAAAAACAACATTAGTACTATCTGTATATTAACTATACTAAAAAATTAAAAGTAGTGGAATATAGTGATCCCATAAGTATTTTTGTGTTTTTTAAATATTTGAAGTTTTACTAGTATAAGGTTTGAGTTTCACATGTATTCAATATTTCATTTCAAATTTTAAAAGAATCCCAATAATTTGACAAACATTTATTAATTAAAAATTTGATAAACCAGGAGCAATGAAAAGAGAGATTAGAGAAAAGAATTTTATTTCATTTCTCATCTTTCTCCTGCATATCTGCCTCCAGCAGGTTTGTATTTACAGCCGACAGTAAGTATTCCAAATATTAGCTTTATGCTGCTATCATTGCTTCCAATTTTAACTATTTTAATGTTTTACTCAAGTTGTTGGTAATTCTGTAGGCCTCTAAATTCTAATACAGTTTAGTAGCTACAAAATGATTAATAAAGAATATTGAATCTTTAAAACTTCATTTTCTTAAACTTACAATCAGAATTATCAGGATTTTACAAGAATGAAACTATAACAAAATACAGGCATAACCTATTTTTAATCCAAAAACTAACCAATCCTAATTTCCCCTGAATATCTCAAAATTCATAAGATTCACCATGCTTAAAATGGCAAAATCTTAGCCAGCTAATTTTTTTTTTAATTTTCTTGCTTAGAAAGTAGCAATAAATACAACATCATCTGAAAGCAAATTTAACAGAAAAAATGGTAATAAATTAAAAAGAATGAATAAATAATTATGGGGCATTCATAAAACAAAAATAAAATATTTTAAATCTTGCATATAAATGATTTCAGTTTATCTTTAAAACTAAGTATATTGGAAATTAAATTTATTCAAGTTCAAAAAAGAGAACAACAATTTCTTTTTGATAGAATGCATTATTTTCTTTACTCTTTTATTTGAAAGATTTAATTTAATCTTCTCAAAATAGATTTAAATGCAGAATGATAATTTAGGAATATATTCATTTTATATACACCTGATATATTCTTTTTTTAATTTAAGCCCCAAGTCATTTAAATTCTAAAGCAGATTGACAAGATTATAATCATAGGATTTTACTTCAATATGAAAGAATTTACACAAAAAGAAGGCGAAATATTTTACAATGTCATAAAATAGAAAAAGAAAAGTAATTTTGGGGGGTTTTATACAAAGGTAAGTAATTTAAATCAATTTTAGTGTAACTGACAATGTGTCTGTGATAGACATTTTTTCTTATATATCATCATAATTTATTTTATGAAATTTATTTTAATTTAAACCTTAAATAAACAACTATTGGGGAGGAAAAATAACTAAAGAAAAAATAATAGAATAAATGATAGCTTTTAGGTTAGTTGCTACAAAAAAACAAAAAACAAAAATAAAAAGAACATTAAATATTATTAAAATAGCTATCACTTGTACTTGCTTTGTAATTTTTTTTCTATGATATATATATCTCAATTTATCTATCTTTATCTTTTTATCAGTCTCTCCTTTTCATTTTTCTTTCATTATAAATATATTCACGCATTTATACCTTCATTTTATTTATCTGCAAGTAAGCTGGACAAAAATACATTCTTTTTATTTAATGATGGTCAAGTTTTCTTTCTATTTATCTATCATGCTAAATAGTGTTTAAAAAAGAAGAAAGTATACATAATATGAAAACCAACAAGACATAAAATCACTATAATGTGGAAAGATCTTTAGGCAAAAAAAAAAATGGATACTTAATAATATCAAGTACATCACAACCTTATCCAATTTATAATCTTTACATCCCATTTGTTTCTGTTCTAACTTATTCTTTTTAGAATTTCCTCAAGATTTTTAATGCTAGATAACATACAGCAAAACATTAATGAAATTAATGTTTGTAATGTGGAAAGAGAACAGCAAATCTAATGTTTTTTCTGCTTCTTTTTTTAAGATATTTTCAATAGAAATGAGTGAATAGGAATTTACAAATCATATTTTCATCTTTTAAGAATAAACAGAAAATACACAAGGCATAATTTCTTGAAATATCTTTTACATTTTCACAAATTAAAAGTTCTGATTTTTAGCATTTCAACCTTTTAATACTTTTCTTTCTTTAATTTTTGTCTTTCTCTTATTTGTAAAAAAAAAAAGGAGGTTGTCTTGATCATTTGTGTGAAACAAAATTATCTCAAAATTATGCAAACCAAAAGTTTTAACTGATCTGCCACTTTCCAAATGTTTGCCATAAGAATGCTTTAAATTTAATTTTTTCCTAAGTCAGCCATTTTGTGAAATTTTAAAATTTCTCTGAAGTCATCACAGGATCTTTCTAAAAGTTTTTAACTATATTCCACAAAAATTTACTCTTACAATATGACTTGATTTTGAAGAAAACCCAGAAATTCAGTTAAATTATGTTTACTAGAAACTGATCTTTGCCAAATTTTCTGGAATTTTCTTATGTTCTTATGCAATTTATTTATTAAATTCCATAATTAATAATCAAAATTTGAAATATTCTTATTCTCAATTTCTAACAAAAATGTAACTTTTAATTTCATCCAAATGTTACTTCCCTGTTTATAGAAATAATCTTTTTTGCTTTAAAAAGTTGTTTGAATAATTCAATTGCAAAATGTTTCACATCAAAATTTGAACAGCTTCATTTATTTATTTTGCTGTGTCTCTGAGTTAAAAAAATAAGAAAAATAATTGGGTTTATTCTTCTGAGCTGAGAATCACAGATTTACTTAAATTCTATGACTGACAATTTAGTTGTAGTGTAAAAGAAAACTTATTGGTTTAACATCAATACAGTTTGTGTTTAGTCATTTCAAATCAGTATTACATCTTGTCAATGAACACTAATTAATAATTTTATCCAAAGATAAAGAAATTTACAAGTAATTTTCCCAAACTTTGTTGTACAGAATTAAAATTTAATTTCTATACGATTATTTCAAATGTGTATTCATTAGAATTTTTCATGACCTAAAATTGCCAAACGTTTAATACCAATGGAATTATTCAGAGAATCAATCAAACATTGTACATAAAAAACAAAACACATTAAGATATCATTTTTTAATGTTTGCAATATTTATTTAATTGATTACCATAAAATAAAATCAAGCTTCTGAACAAATCATATCTTCATGCTTATTAATAATTAGTCTTCATTATAAACTCAGCTCTCTGTTTATAAACTTCATAAAACAATTACAAAATGACATTTTCTTGAACAAAAAGGGGTGGAAAAACATTCCTTTTCACACACACTTGAAAATAAATTCTATAACTTACAATAGCACCTAAAAAAATTAATAAGGCAAATAATTTGATCAATAACAATTGCTGTTTCTTTTATTTTGGTATCAACAAAAAAATCCAACAAAAATGACATCCAAGCCTCACCAAAAGTCAGACTCCATAAATATTACAAACTTATAATTTCAAAATCTAAATTTAATATTTACAAACATAACTTTACCAAATTATAGCATCTGATTTGTTTCAAACAATATCCATCATGATTCCTTTTTGTCTCAAACTTTTTTTTGCCCTTAAATATTAAGAAAGCAACATTTACTTTAAATTCCAAGAATTTATAATCTCTTCATGCAACTAGTTTATTAACTAGTGAAATAATTATTTTATCTGCAGTTAGAAATATAGTGGATTAGTCATCCATGCATAAAAAAAAAATTGACATTATTATCATTTATTAATTTGTTTTCCACAGATGAAGAAATAAAAAAAGCAAAAGCAGTAGGTGTTTCTTTTTAGAATAGACACAAAATTATTCATAATTACAATCTACATTGGAATAACTTTCATAGAATCCAATTTACCAGCCCAAATTAACATTAACACAAACGGCATCAATATTTTTCTTTATAACCAGTATTAACTGTAAAACTGTTTTTGTTGATCAATAATTTTTTAAATTAATTATACAATTTTTTAAAAATAGCTGAATTTTTTTCCATTTTTATAAAATACTGATGTCAGAACAATCTTTTTTTTTTTTTTTTTTTCACAAAGCTGAATTTGTTAACAGCACTTTTACCAAAGAGAATTTTTACTGAACACAATCTAGTCAGTATTTGAATATCTATTAGTCTTTATTGTACTTTTCAGTCTAACAGCTTTAAAACTAATTGGGATATGACTAATGACAAGTCGTGCTTCTTGAATTTAAAGACTATTTTGATGAAACTAAACTTTTAACAGTTTTGGAGCTTAAATGCAACCAAAAAAAAAAAAACCAGCATCAAGTGCATCCTAAATTGATACTTGATATTCTTTTTTCATTTTGGTGTTTCTGGGCTTTAAAAAGAAATTCATACACACTATACAACAAAAATCAGACATTTGTGCATAGACAATACATGCTACAATAATTTTTACAAATCAGGTGTGTTCTGTTGTCATGATTTTATGTATCAATAAGCATACAAAAGACCTTGTATACATGATTCTGCTTCTTGAAACTAAGTTGTTCATGTTCAAATAATTTCCCCCACCATTTTTTTTTTTTTTTTTTTAAAAAAAAAAAAAAGACAGTTCCAGATACAACAACTTTAAAATCAAAATTTCTTAATGTACTTTTTAATCTCTGGGGATTGACAGAAATATTTTCAAAAAAAAAAAAAAAGTAACTTTTAACACAGAAACAAAAAAAAATCACCATGTACCCAGTTCAACCAATGTATCCAGGTAGCAACCAATTTAATTTTGATATGCACAGTCAGGCTTTTTACCAAAGCCCCCACCTCAAATGTCCAGAGAAATCTCTCACCATGGACAAGCCATTTAACTATGACTTCTTCAGTAAAGGTTTCACCCGGAGGGTCAACAGTGGCAGTATTGCCAGTACAACACCAACTAGTCTCAGTGGCAGTGGACATCATCACCTTGGCAATAGCAGTGGCGGTAATAATCATGGCAGTGAAGGTGAACGTCACTCTTTAACTGACAAATATTATTACTGTGGCTTTTGTAAAAAGCCCTTTACTCAGAGGGCCCATCTGGAGGCCCATGAAATGACCCACTTAGAGAAGACGTTCAACAGTTCGTTTTTTAGTCGAGCTTTCCCAATACAACCCGATCTTAAAAATTTTGATCGTTCTCAGGCTCAGGTAAACATGGAAAAACCATATGCTAACACCAGTAGTAATAGTGCTGGAAATTGTAGTCCGAACTCTGTATTTAGTAACCGAACACCATTTCCACTGCACCTTTCCCACCCGCAACACCTTCAACATGCTCATTCCCACCAACCAAGTAACCAGAACCAGAACCAATCAATTCCACCAGATATGAAAGATTTAGATCTAATTCGCTCGCAGATCACTGGCGGCAATCCTGTGAACACCGCGGCTACGTCAGGTTCATCCTCGTCGGAGAAGCTATTCAGTTGCGGCGTCTGTGGCAAGGCGTTCGCACAGCGCACCAACCTGGCCAATCACCAGCGTGTGCATACTGGTGAAAGGCCATTTGCATGCTTAGAGTGCGGGAAGTCGTTTAGCCAACAAGGAAACCTGAAAATTCATTCGCGGACACACACAGGAGAAAAACCGTTCAGCTGCGAGACTTGTGGAAAGGCGTTTAGTCAACGAACTAACCTCGACAACCACCGACGCGTCCACTCAGGTGATTTGTTCAACTGCCGCTTCTGTTCAAAGGCTTTCTCCTTGCAAATCAATCTGCGTAACCATGAGCGTGTGCACACTGGAGAAAAGCCCTTCAAGTGCACATACTGCCCAAAGATGTTCAGTCAGCAGGGGAACCTCCGGACGCATCTCAGGACGCACACCGGAGAGAAACCATATCACTGTGACACTTGTGGGAAGGCATTCTGTCAGAAAATCAACCTGGACAATCACCGTCGCATTCACACGGGCGATCTGTTCAGGTGCTCGTTCTGCCCGAAAGCTTTCTACCAGCAAATCAACCTGCGAAACCACGAACGGATCCACACGGGGCACAAACCCTATCACTGCGCTTTCTGTGATCGCACTTTCTGCCAGCAGACGGAGTGGCGCAACCACGAGCGTGTCCACACGGGCGAGAAGCCATTTGTGTGCACAACATGCGGGAAAGCGTTCAGCCAGCAAGGCAACCTGAAGATACACATGCGGACACACACAGGAGAGAAACCCTACTCGTGCTTAGACTGCGGGAAAGCGTTCTGCCAGAAGATAAACCTAGACAATCACCGACGCACGCACACAGGCGAGCTGTTCAAGTGCACGATGTGTCCCAAGGCATTCACCTTGCAGATCAGCCTGAAGAACCACGAGAGGGTCCACACAGGGGAGAAACCATTTGTATGTACAGTATGTCAGAAAGCTTTCAGCCAACAAGGCAATCTTAAAACCCACATGCGCAAACACACTGGAGAGAAGCCCTTTTCATGTCATGTATGCGGCAAAGCTTTTTCACAGCGTGGGAATCTCAATCACCACCAGAGAACCCATACTGCTTCTGAATTGGCCTCAAAATACTCTTCACTCATTGGAGGAACAAATGTTCCTGGGGTCAAGCTCAACCTAAACCCCACCAGCAAGGCCACAACAACACTGCCGCTAGCTTCAACATATGACAGCTGTGATAATCGCTTGAGTAACAATGGAAATTTAAACAGAGACAAGCTGCTTTCAAGAAATGGTTCAAAACCAAGCAGTGACAATCTAAATGGGAGTCAGTTGAATGAGGATGATCCCCATCTGAACTCTTCTTCAATCGGTGCCAGTGGCCTGAAGGATCGTTACCGGGACTCCCAGGCTTTGAGCGCCTCAGCACGTCTCCAGGCATCAGCCATGACATCATCGTGGATGACATCTCCTTACCTGCAGGACATGTCGCAGAGCTGGGAAAATAATTACCTCTGGTCAAGGGGGTTTCCTGTGCCCCCAATGTCCAGTTCATGTTGGCCCAATGTGCCAACACCTCTCCCTTGTAGTGTGAAACAGAGTAAACAAAGTTCGTGGACAAGTCTTCAGAGTATGCACACTTTATCTTCAAAAGGCAACGTGGATGTGCAAAGTGGCAGCACCAAATAAAATGCAGGACTAAAATCAATCAACTTCTTCAGAGATGGGGGTGGGGAATGAAAGTCAATATTCTTTTGAAGCCATATTGCAAAAAGAGGTTTTCTAAAAAGTTTAACAGTATTAATCCACTTTTTTTTTAAAAAAAAAAATGAATAACAAGATATTTTAAGATGAACAAAGTTACAAGAATCTTGGGCATTAATTTTGTGGCATGTTATTATTTTCTTTTCTTTTTTTTTTTTCACTTCATTTTAATTTTTTTTTCCATACGTTTAATATTAGAATTGAGAAATAGTAAAAACTCTCTAAGTCTGATTTTAGAAAATTGAGAAACAGTACCATTTTATTTGAATCAGCTAAAATGTTTTTTTTTTTTTTTTTTGTGAAAGTTCTTCCTTTCATCTTCTACAATTTGAAAGAATGTATATTTATTGGAAGCTAACTTAAGGTTGACCAAACCTTAGTTCCAGTCTTTTCTTTTTATAAATAGGATATTTCAGAAATGCAAAAGTAATTTTTTAAAATTTTTGAATTACAAAGTTAGATAAAAAAACAAAATTTCTGTTTAGCAATTACTAAAAATTACTATTTATTAATCAGAAAAATAGAAAAATCTATAAAAGTCTCAAAGAGTAGTACAAATTTTTTCCTAGTTTTCAAGTTAAAAAACAATTTTGAAATTCATCTGAAGAGTATGAAAAGACCACTTTTGCAAAATGATTTTTGATGGATTATATTATATACAAATTCTATCTTATTTGTCCCTGTCTATATATAATTATGTCAGCCAAAACATATCATTTTGAAAATGATTTTTGATAAAGGTCAAATGGTAAATTATCTGCTATTATTTTATATCTAAATGTTATTTTCTAGTTAAAATTAGGAAGGTCTAATGATGCTGTCAATTTTTTAAAAGGCAATTTTGCAATATGGCATTAGTTAAGTGATTGTTCACTTTCTAGTTTCTGCCATTTTGCTAAATAATATTAAAAAAAAATGAACAAAAAATTTAACTTTATGAATTTTCTTTTTCAGGTTAGTAAATAGTAAGTTTATTGTGATTGTGAGTATAAATGTTGGTTTTTATTGTGTCAATGATTTAATATACAAGTGACACTCTTCCACTGCCAAATGCCAAACAATATTCAGTTAATTTTCATTGTGGTATATTGGGATCTATCTTCAACTATGTTAAACATTTAAGATTGTGAGGTTAAGAAAAAAAAATAGAAGTCCTAAGGCATGGTGGCAAAAATTCAAGGGTCTTTTTTGTTACATCATTTTGACAAGGATTGAAATATTTATACATTAACAATCTTAGCTTTTTTTTTTTTTTTTTTTTTTTTAAATGAATTAACTGTAAAAGCGTTGGACAGTGAAATTTGGATCAGCCAAAATGTTACCAAAGAATCATGGTTTTGTGTTTTAGTAACTTCAAGGGGATTTTTATTGGTTTGGTTTGTTTGAAAATTTCTAAAAAAATGTGGGGAAAAACTGAAATTAAAAGTAAGAAAACAGATTTGTGAAAATGCTTCACTTCCAGATGACAGAATATATACACAGACTTACAAAAAAATAAAAACAATATAAAGGTACATCGATCCATACATGTGTGTCTGTGTGTGAGGTTCTATCTAAAGTTAACTATGAAACATCAATTTTTCACTATTTTCTTTGAAGCATTTATTTTGTGTGTGTATATATATATATATATATATATATATATATATATATATATATATATATATAAAGATTAGGAATGGTATTGACAAAATAAAATTCCTCCAATAATCAAAAACACTATTCTTAAGAGTGCTCAATACAGAATAGAACAAATTTTTTGAATTATCATATACTTGTATTTTGATTGGTGATTGGTGCTTATGTAACAATGTTTGCCCTAATGAGATGAGTTTAGTTGGTTTTGAACTTTTTAAAACTCTTTATTCTGAAATCAACACCATCACTTGACAAGACACCAGAAGTGTTGAAACAAAATGGCTATTTCTGTAGTGATGTTATAACATGCCGATGTTATAATTTTTTAATAAATACTCATATATATATATATATATATATATATGGGTAGCAATCTTTCTTTTAAACATCTTTCATTAAATATGTCAGACAAGGAAGATTTAATTTTTTTTATTTAGTTTTTCCAGCATCCTTACGTTTTTCCATTTTGTAGAAATTAGGAAGTACAGAAATTTTCCATAATTTTCATTGTCCCAACCACTTTCAGCCATTTCTTTAGCCATTTTCAAGGGGGCTTGTTTTTGGTGTTAGCTTTTCCTCATGTTTTGATATATATATATATATATATATATATATATATATATATACATACACATTTCATTAAATAATATAGACAAGTGTTGTCTATTTATTTTATGTAAATTTTTTTTCATAACGTCTGATAAGTTTAATAACATTATCATTGAACGAAGAAAGAAATTCACAATATTGATCCATATTTTTTTTAATACAATCTAAGCTTTCAGCTTACATAAGCCATTATCAAAGATGTCATTTACAACATATTAAGCAATATACGGACAAGACAGTGATGATAGTCTGTCAATGTTTACATAGATGATTTCTAAGCAATGATAAACATGTGCATATAAGACGCTAGAAGCGAAAATCGCACCGCATCTCATGACGTCACACATGACCACGAGAGTGAATTGTAGAAGTATGAAGTACGGAAAGCCGTTGGTATAAACCAATGGCTTCTGTTACCAATTATAGACATTTAAGAATATTTGTAGAGATGCCATAATTGATTTTGTTTAGGTTGGGTTTCAACAGTTTGATGTATAATGCTTCAAGGATTTTTAGTTTTTGTCTATTGTTTTCATGTCAAAATATAATTGTTTTCGACAAATATATGTATGTACATGCTTGTATGTGTGTATCGGAATCTATATAAAATATATACATAGATATTATGTGAATGTATGACTCTGGGTATAAAATTGGAGGAGAAAACTTGCTTATGGAATCTTGTAGATAATATTAGTAAACATTTCAGTATATCTGTTAATAAATTTGACAATGTGTAAATCTGTTTTATTGACTTTATTACACATTTCAACATCATTAGATTGGCTTCCTCAGATCAGAACTAAAGAAATGTGTGTGTTTGTGTGTGTGCCTCAATATCAAATTTTTAATACTTTTTCCACTAAGCTGGTGTCCCCCAGCCGGGACCAAAAGACAAAATTGTATAAAAGTTTGTATAAAAGCTGTCATTTTAATTTTGGCTGTTTGCTTTTAAATCTTCTTTTGTTAAAATTTGTTTTCACGTTTTCCCAGCTTTTCTGCATTGAATTTAAGGTAACTCCTTATCCATTTTCTTAGAATGAGCTGAAAATCAAAGATTCATATATTTTAGGTATGTCTTTGTGTTTTCTGTGTTGACAATATGTGTATAAATAGGATACAAAGCTTTATAAATTTGACAAATCGGGTACATATTCTCATAAATAACAATTTTGAGTTTATTATTATAAATGATCTACATTATAAACAAAATTTAAAAGATTATGGTGATACCATGATTTTCAAAAATGATTTTTTTTTTCTGTTTTAACCAGATTGAATATGATCCTTAAAAAACTTTTTTGATAGCTGCACATAATATAAGACAAAGTCTCAGGGAATAAATGGAAAAGGGAAAACTAAATTTCTTTGTCTTCATAGTTCAAAGCAATATCCTTTTTCAAGCTGTTTGTTTGGGATCAATGTGTTGCATCTGTCCTTTTTATTTCAGTGCAATATATGTTATGCACTTTTTACTCTGATATTTAACATTTGAATTAGAAATTAGATAATGGCAAACAGAAATTGGTTTCAAAGTTCAATTTCATTTTTAAAATAAAGTCTTTTATAATTAAGTGATGCAGAACTTTAAATATTAGTTATTTATACAAATATAGATTACTAAATTTATTATTGTTACTATCATTATTAACGTTATTAATTTTTTTACTTGTACTTCTTTCAGATTATTTTTATTTTTATTGTTATTCAAACTACTCAGGCTGCCGTTCTACAGTAAATAGGAATATTATCTTGACATTTTTAATTGGATGGATTATTGTCATCCATTATTTTTTGTTTTTACTTGTATTTCTTTCATTTTAATTTTAGATTTGTGAAATAAAATTCTTTTTCTGATGATGCCAGGACATCAGTGAAACATTTCAAAGTAGAATTTTCCCAAATTTTCTTATATATTTACATATGCATATATGTAAATTAGAAAGCATTTAAATTGAAACAAACTAATCTGGTGGCCATATATATTCAGCAATTTTTTACATTCCTTTATCACATTTAAAAAACAAACTTAAATTTCAGGTTTGGTGTGTGTGTGGGGGGTTCCCACTATTATTCATCCAAAAGCCACTCAATGTAGAGGGTTAGTGAATGTGGTTGTTTTATGGATGTGAGAATTATAGCGGATATGTAGGATAGTTAATGTTTGAGTGTAGACTTTAAGAGGTTAAGATTGTAGTGGTCAGACAATAATTGACTCGAGTACCACAAAGCAGCAACCCTTGGGAAGAATCTGTCCAAATGGCATTTCTTTTTTACTATTGGAATATGAAGAGAATGAGGATGGTATGCTGCAGTAAAAATGGTATGGCAGGTTTTAGCTGTGAAGATCTGAACTGGTAGAACTAATAAATGGAGTTCATCAGAACATTTGTCCATTCATGGTATATGTGGGAAAAGAGCTGTAAGGTGGAAAATAATTCATCACCCACAAGGCCGTGTGAACACTTTTGAATTTTGTCAAGGCCAGAACATGTGTGGATTTGGCAGCTCCAGGACAGACATGGCAGGAACACTACATTTTTGGTCTGATCTGACTCTTGTAAAGATAGAGCATGGCAGGTGGAGTCAGGTATTTTCTGGAGCGGTATCAGGGCTGACAATTTTTCCATAGTGTTTCACAATGGATCATATATGTGTATTCCACTTGAGGTCTGGTT